TTGAGAGCTTGGGCCGCCTGTGATAAACATAGCATAAACAGCATCCGCAGGTACATTCAACTGATGTTAAGTAGCACATTCTGCCAGGGCAAATTTCCTAACAAATAGCGCACTATAGTACGTGTGGTCTTGCTTGTCAGAAGATGATTTCATCATCATCATCATCATCGTCATTTATTTGCATTTAATAACAAAAGATATTGACAATACTCAAAAAGCGGCGAGGAGACCTCCAAAAGAAACCACCAGGCTTATAACGAGGGGCACCTCAGAAGTTAATATGGAAATCCCACATTAGTTTTGTATGTGAGCAAATCTCTAAATCAGTTGGTATAATATACAGGTCTAGATTCAAAAGAAACCACCAGGCTTATAACGGAGGCCACCTCAGAAGTTAATACGGTAATCCCACATTAGTTTTGTACGTAAGTAAATTTCTAAATCAGCTGGATGAACAGGAAAATTGATCTAAACGATGAACAGGAAATTGAGTTCGTTGTAGTCATCTTCAGCGTTACTAAACTAGACAATCAAAAAGTATACCCCATTTGCCACAACTATACAGTGATCTGGTTTAAGTACATACAACTCTATTTCATCATGACAACATTATCAGTCACATCATTCATTCATTCTAAAAGTACTGGTCGACTGATATCGAAGCGAGCCCCCCAACCAAACACGTCCGTTTGCAGCTTAATCTAAACGCTAAAGGTGATGTCAGTGAACATGAGTTGAACTCTTCACCTGAATCGAGTGTTGTTCAGGTAAATATATCGAACAAACAGAAAACCAGACATTGTTTACGTACTAGATATGCTCAGGTGGCCAAGGCAGCCATACTGACGAGCGGAATCCAGCATTTATAGCTGTAATTATTGTCGCAATAGTAGACCGTGTGAGACACAGCTTTTGGAACATGGTAAATAATCGCAGCCTACTTAAATTGCGCGAATCCAATTTGTGGCTATAAAACCGACTGTTAAACCCTAAACAACTAGACAGTCATTCTAATAACTGCTTTATACTGAACGACATCACCAGCTCAAATGTAGCGAACCAATCATATACTCCAAACGATCGATAAATAAATATATCAATCATTCAAACAATTAATCTATTAATTTCAAAACGTGGGATGGTGTTGCTCTCCGTATCCGAGACAGATTGGCCATGTACAAAATGCTTGACAATGAACAAAAAAATACTAGGAACTTCTGTAAACGAGAGCGAAAAAGGGAGCAAACAAAATTGTAGGGTTTTCATTCTGACCGCAGTGTTATTATACCTACGTACATCTACAGAGGAAGAAAATAACGCTCATTCAAACATTATGAACAGACGTCGTTTTCAATGTTCATTATGAGCGCATGCGTCATCATGCACTCTGAGCAGAGGTTTCTAATGTTGATTAAAATTGCATGTGTCATGCATTCTGTGAAGAGCAGAAGTTTTCAACGTTGATTATGACTGCATGCGTCGTGCATTCTGAACAGAACTCTACGGTTTTTAATGCTGATTATGAATTGTCCGACGTTCATTTAATATTATTCACTGGAGTCAAACCCAGAGCAACATTTGATGTAAGCTGACTTTTCAAGCGAGCATTACGCTTGATCATGAAGTGCTGCTATGATGAAATTCGCATCTGTCCTCTCTACGCCGTTTTTAAAACGTTAACAAGTTGTCTGTGAGAGAAAGAAAATAAATTTTACTATTTTCAAATATCTCTTTCCGTTACAATTTCATACGTGAAATGATTCGAATATTACTGAATGCTACCGCAACGGAAATTAACATGTTTGCTACGGAAGACAAAAATCGTTTTAGAGAGTATTTACACTATATATACCTGATTGGAAGAACGTTGTCGGATGAAAAGTATAAACCATAAACGATACGACTTCATGGAATTATCGGAAGACTGAAGAAGCGTGTGCACAATCATGAATATTCAAGATTGTTTCCTCGTGGCATTTAAATGACACAGTCACAGATCACAATCCTTTAGAAAAACATGGAAACTGTTCATGTCTTCCTAAGGTTCCTAATGGTTGCTAAGTTAGAAAACAAAGGGAAATTTACATTAATTGCAGATGCGAGCAATCTGCAATTTCTTCAATATCATAAACAAGGTAACAATAAACCGTAAACCACTTTAAAGCATGTACACGGTGCGGATGCAAATTAGTATCATTTCGCAAGTTTCCCAGGTAAACGACTGTGTCGTATCGTTCATGGTTTATAATTTTTTCTTGACAACGTTTCCTCAGTTAGGTGTATTCAAAGAGAACGTGATCATTGCTTTGACGTCTTGACTGATTCAATAATCCCAATGTCCACGGGTTTAAAGTAACATGGAGTAAAATATGATATCTAGTCTATTGTTCCATATAATCTTATGCCGCTTTCAGTTCCTATCGCATACAAAAAAAGAACATCAAGTTGATAAATGAAGCACAAACGATCAAAATGTCTTGAAATCTTGATTTAGTTTTCCACCCAATGAGTCCTTTGCTGGACCTTAGTCCTTGGTAGGATGACGTTTCTCCAACATCGAGAAATGCGATCTTTTCTCCCTCGCATTGGGGCGCTCAGCTTTCTCTTCAACTCCTCTCTTTAATCTACAAAATTAAGATTATCATTTTTGAGTTGTTTTTTTTTGTAAAAAATACCTCTTAGTCGGCGCGTCGGGTATGTTATGGACTGGTCAATGGATGAGTGAGTCAGTGAGTCAGTGAGTGAGTGAGTGAGTGAGTGAGTGAGTGAGTGAGTGAGAGATGTATGTATGTCACACCAATCAGATTGGATCT